AGCTTTATTCATAACTGTCACAAACTAGAAGCAACCAAGATATCTCAGTAGGTGAATGGACAAACTGTGGTACATCCAAAATATTATTCAGTGATAAAAGGAAATAACCTATCAAGCTACAGAAAGACATAAAAGAAACTTAAATTTTTATTATTAAGGTGAAAGAAGCCATACTGAAAAGGCTACATACTACATGACTTTCTAGAAATGGCAAAACTATGGAGACAATAAAAAGATCAATAGTTGTCAGAGAGTAGGAGGGGTGAATAGGCAGAGTAAGGGTTTTTTAATGAGACTATATTCCACAATATGTCATATATAGTCAGAACCAATAGAATGTACAACGGTGAACCCTAACATAAACTACGGACTTTAGGTGATGATGATGCACTAATGCAGGTTTACTGACTGTAACAAACACACCAGTGAGGCCTCATGCTGACAATGAAGGGAATGGAGGCAGAATATGGGAACTCTGTACTTTCTGCTCAGTTTTACTATGAACCTGAAATGATTCTCAAAAAAAAAATAAAATCTACTTATGAAAGAAAGGAAAAAAAACCCAAAACCAAAGAAAGTGTTTACTGAGCAGTTAAAAAGAAGCATCCATCTAACATACTCATTAGTATACATACAGCAAATCAAAAAATATTCATTAAAATATTGTACTAAGCGTCCTGTGGAGGGGATATAAACAAGTAGACAAGGCTCCTTCCCACAAGGAGTTTGAAATATAGTTAAACAGACATCATATATTCACACACAACTAAATAAGATGAAATTTAAATAGTTCAAGACAGGAAACACATCACAAACAGCTAAGTTGTCAAATTACTAAAATAGGCATTAACAGGACAATGTGCTTAGGGGTTCAGTGGATTATTTCGAGCAAAAAGAATTAGGAAGTTAAAGGTATGCTCTAGGTCCTGAAATTGGGGTAAGATTCATCTAATTTTCTGAAGGGAATTGGTGAATTCTAAGAAGGAATAAAATTACTGCAGTTGGAAAAGAAAATTAAATGAACCAATTTCACAGAACAAAATGGGGAGACAAGACTATAAAGACAGGTAAAAGCCAGATTCAGAAATCTTAACCCTGGGTTGGGAAGAACCCCTGGAGAAGGAAATGGCCACCCACTCCCATATTCTTACCTGGAGAATCCCATGGACGGGGAGAGAGGTGGTGTCTGGTGGGCTATGGTCTATGGGGTCGCAAAGAGTCAGACACGACTGAGCAACTAGCACACTTGTGAAAACACTAGCAAGGAGCAAGTGTTTGCCTAACTAAGTATATATTGATGATTCTTAGTCTAATGAAAAGTGTACTTATAAATATTTTATGTGAGAGACACATAATTTGAAGATAGACAGTAGTCAACAGTAGTAGTTAAAAATTCACCATCATTGAAACTTGAGCCTATTATACAGAGTGAAGTAAGTCAGAAAGAAAAACACCAATACAGTATATTAATGCATATATATGGAATTTAGAAAGATGATAATGATGACCCTATATGCAAGACAGCAGAAGAGACACAGACGTAAAGAAGAGATGTTTGGACTCAGTGAGAAGGTGAGGGTGGGATGATCTGAGAGAACAGCATTGAAACATGTGTATTACCATATGTGAAACAGATCACCAGTCCAAGTTCGATGCATGAGACAGGGCGCTCAGGGCTGGTGCGCTGGGACGACCCTGAGGGATGGGATGGGGAGGGAGGGTGCAGGATGGGGAACACATGTACACCCAGGGCTGACTCATGTCAAAGTATGGCAAAAACCACCACAATATTGTAAAGCAATTAGCCTCCAATTAAAATTAATTTTAAAAAATAAAAATAAAATAAAAAATTCACCATCATTGCCATACAAGTGAATACATGTACATACAAGCCCTGCTCCCATTTTTCGATTTCCAACCTACACCAACAGGCTACCCATAACCCCATAAACTGAACCCATCCGTAAGTCTACGCTCTCACCCAATAAAGCTCCATATGTTTACATCACTCCATATCCCCTTACCCAAAGATGTCTTTCCTCTGGGGGCAGAAAAGTAGGTGGCTCACTGCCCATGAACTGGAAAGATGGGTCATGTTAGGACCATGGTTACTCATGGCACTTTCTCCCCATTCTACTGACAGAACTGTCACGCTCTATTCATTATTAAAAGCAAACCTACTAAGTACTTACATGTTCAAGGCAAAACATAAAATCCCTCATTCCTTGGCCAACCATCTGAAGACACGACACAAACAGGACCCTATATGACTTCTGATCATTATTATTGATCAACCGCATTTCTCATATATGAAAACATTTCTGAATTTTTCCATTGTTACTTTTAAACCTGCTTTATAATCCTTCTGTTTTTCCATAAACTCTTCTACGTAATTCTAATCACATATTACTCAATTCTCAATGCATGTCCATCCACTGTTGTATCTGTTTCCATACTTCCCAATTAAATGTTCCAACCTACCTCAACTAAGTTATCCCAAATCAATGCTGTAGTTTATGTATTTATCTTTATACTTATATTATGTACCCAAAGCCCTCCCCTTTAGCAATCTACCACGTGAGTGACTGTTTTCTTCCCTTTTCATGAACAGGCACATTCATTTACTTCCAATTTCCCCAATCATTTATAACTAACTCTGGCACATATAACCTTTCTGAAACATGGCCTCCAGACACAAAAACACCCCTTAAGAGTCCTCTTTCTATTGAAAACATTTTAAGACTTTTGTTAAAAAGACTTTTTATAGAAATACAAATACATACACTATGATACTACTTATTCAAAGTTTAAAATCATGAAAGACACCAATAGATACTGTTTAAAAATAAAGGTATATACTAAAAAACATAAATACATGTATAAAAAGAGAGAACAGGAGGAATGCAATCCAGGAGGGACACAGAAAACTTCAACACTGTTTGTAATGTTTTATTTTTTTAATTAAGAGTCTGGAATACATGGTTGTTTGTCACAACTGTTCTTTATACCTTTTCAAGTGTGAAATATATTTAAGTGAGTTCAAGAAGAAAGAAATCCAACTATTGATGAGAAGTACCCTCCCATACAGAGTGACAAGATGTTATGGCCAAGTTGCAGTGAATGCTCATTGCTACATCTGGGACACCACTTTTGTACTTTACCTAAGCCAAGAAAAGAAAAATCACAAGGCTACAATACAAACTTTCTCTTAGATATATTTTACATGTGTTTCAGATTTATTTTCTATAGCTATCCAAATCCATTTCTTTCACAAAGCTCACATCAACAAAAATTAAATCCTTTAACTCTGTATCTCTAAATTGCCATTTACTCTTAAGTGCCTAAAAGTAAATCAGAACAACCACCTTATTTGGCGCTGTTAAAATACAAGTGAGTTGGTAAGACCACGTAACTACTTCCACTTGGCTAAATGCGAACAGTCATGTACATTACACTCTGCGCAGGAGTCTAACTCGTATACTAACTTTTCAGTCTCGATTTGTAACATCTAAATTAAGCCACTCATCATTCAACCGCAAATGAAATGTCGATTCACCCAAAAGTAACCTTACCCGGACAACTCCAAAACACCCTCCTACAACCCGTCGAGCGTTCACCTCTCTCATCCTCCAAGTCCCGTCCCTGGACCAAGGTTTACAGCAGCCAGCACTGGTCTCCTCCACCGCTGAGCCTCACACATGCCCCCTTATCCCAACTCTTGGCTCGCAGTGGTAAAACCAGCAGAGAGTGCCGGAAGTTTCACCTCATTACGAACCCAAAGGAATCTACAGCTCAGACACCGCAGGTGCTGAGTTTCTCGTCCCTGCGGGGTAGAAGGCGGAAGCCCCGAGCCAGGGAACAAGAGCCAGTCTTCCACGGCGTCCGCCCGAGCCCTAAAGCGGTCGATGGAACAGTTCAGGCAGCCGGCCCTCCTACTTCCCTCCCCGCCCCCACTCCAGGCCCACCCAACCCCCACGCCGGGCGCGAAGCCTGCTGTACATCCCAGCACCTGCGGGTCCCAGGAACAGACGCGGATCTTCTTCTCTCCACGAGAGGCGAGGGCTTGGATGCCGGCTCGGACGCTTGCCTCCGGCCACCAGCCTCTCAAGTCCGGACCAACCCTGCAACCCTTTCGCTTTCTGATCTAACAGAAACTGTACCGACACCCTCTCCAGGACCTAGCCCGGAGCCTGGGCTTCTCCGGTGCTGAGCTCTTAGGCCTCCTCACGTCTCCTAGAGGACCAACCCACACCGGACGCTCAAAGCCCGAAAGGCAACTCCCACCATTCCCCGTCTCGCCCGTCTTTCCTTCCCAGCTGCAGCCGCTGAAACAGCCAACTTCTAAGGTCCTCCTCCATCAGTTTCCCGGCCTCCCTTCACAGCCAGGCCTGAGCCCCAAGCCCTGCCCTCCGCCGCTCCCCTCCTCCGGAGGCCGAGCCCCGGGGCTGGGCGGCTTCCTTCCCCGGCATCCCGGGGCCCGGCTCCTCCCGCGGCGGGCCCGGCCCCCGCCCGGCGTTGCCGCACACTCACCGCTGAGAGCCGAGGCCTGCAGGGTGGCCCCTGAGGTGCCGTCGATGACTTTGATGGTCCCGCGACTGGTCACGGCCAGGATGGCGTTGAGCGCCGGGTGGTAGGAGAGGCTGTGCAGCCCGTCGGCGTCGCAGCGCATGCAGCCGTCCCGCAGCACCAGCCACTCGGAGACCCCGGCCGCTCCCGCCCCCGCCGAGCAGCCCGGGCCAGAGGCCGCAGCAGCCGCAGCCGCCATCTTCCGGCCTGCGCTCAGCACAATCACACTGGGAAGCGGCTCAGTGACAGTCCCGGGAGGTGCAGCACCACCACCAGTCACCATCCGGGGCCAGGGGGCAAGCAGAGCGCGTTAGCCGGAAGTGAAGTCAGGCGCCGGCACGCAAGTGGGACGTCGGCCGCGCGCCCGGAGGGGCCAAGCTCGGAGGGAGGCTGGCAGGGGAGGGGGAAAGGGAGCGAGAGAGGCGGGACCCGGGATGGGACCGGGAGGCGGCCGGCCGGAGCATGCGCGGGAGGAAGAGCGCGTGCCACGCGCCGCTGGTCCAGCCAGCTCCGTGTCCGCAACGTCCCAGTTTTTTTTCCGAGCCCGGGGAGTGGCCGCGGCCTGGACTCCGCCCAGCTCCCTTAATCCGGACCGGGGCGGGGTGGGTGGGTGGAGAGCAGGGCTTTGGGATGTGTATTTCCGCTAGGCGGGGACCCGGGACCGTGCGACTGGGCTGAGACGCCTGGAGGCCCCTTGCTGCGGTTCCACCTCTGCCTGGACAGTTCCCAGCACGCGCGGTGCAGCTGTTTGGCTGTGGCCCAAAGGAGACCTCCTGTCTGGGCCTCTGCTCAGCAATCTGAAAAATTTCTAGTCTGGATTTGGAGAAACCGAACGACCTCCCCAAACCCACGCTTATTACAACGCCCCACCCGTTCCCAAATTTTTTGTTAAACCAAAGGACCAGTCTGAATGTAGCTGGGGGTGTCCTTCCAAAACAGTTTTTTAAGTCTCAAAACACAAGCTGAAACTGTAAAAGCTACCATTTCGAAGATTTTTCTCTCTCAAGACTCATTTTGGAACAAACTTTTCCATTAAAGGTTCCTCTGAGTAGGCTTCAACTGCAAATCAGGACCCCCATCTTGTTGGTAGGGAAAACAAACTAGTAACCTGAATGCTAAATTTAAACTTAATATATTTTAATGTTGTACGGTGTTGAAATGGATAAAAGGCATAGTTTTTTGTGTGTTCAGTTCAGTTCATATGTTAAATACTTTGGTTGGGATAAAAAAAAATTCCGTGAATTTCGATTTCTTCAACCTGTAAACAAACTTTCTCCAAAGCTCATTACTCAGATGTTCTGAAATACAACACTTCCATAATAAAAAAATTTGGGAGAGAAATCCTCCTTTATTTCTCCTCTTGGGAGATTTATCATACATATTAGCTTACCTAAAGCTCTGAGACCTCGAATGACAAAGAATACTATTTAACCTCCTTTTACCAACAGTTCACAAACTCATATAAACACAGAACCCTCCCAAACCAGTGTTTCAAAGAACAATCTTTAGTGTAGCTTGTTGCTTGTTTTTCTGAGTGTGGATTTTTGCTTCAGCACTGGCTGAGACCTCCAAACCGTAGTGAAGTGTTTCAGGATCCATGGTAAGATTCTTAGAATTGATCATGAAAATGAAACTGGGCAAGACAGTGAAGTTTAGTATCAGCTGTGTTACTGATGTCCTTCTGCTTGTGGAGTTGAGAGCAAATACTATGGACATTCAAGATGTACTGATTTTCATGGCTTTTCTGTTTTGAAGTAGTGGCCTTCTGAGGGTCTCCAGCCCAACCATTTTGGGCATAGGTGGTGATCACCTATGATAAGTAAAAATTCTCACAATCATTCCGGGAAGAATTTGCTGGAATCAGAGATGTGGACTCAAAAAACCGGTCTTATTGATACAGAAAAGGCATTTGATAAAAATCCAACATCCATTCGAGGGGAAAAAGTCTTTCAGCAAACTAAAAATAGAGGGAAATTTCCCCGACTTGAAAAAAGCATCCACAAAAAAGCCTACAGCTAACAGCATGCTTAGCAGTAAAAGACTTGACATCTTTCCCTCTAAAATCAGGGGCAAGTCAAGGACATCCACTTCATCAGTCCTTTTTAACACAGTATCTGGAAGATCTGGAACTTAACAGTAAGTTACTATAACAAGGCAAGAAAAAGAAATAAAAGGCATAGAAAGAGAGAAAGCAGAGTTTCTCACCCCCACCTGTCCCTCTTGCCATTGTGCAGCCACTGATGGTTCAGAACCAGCCTGTAGTAGGAGGAATAGAGGCTGAGATCTAATTGAGACAGCCTGCCTAGAACTGCAAGGTGATGACTGGCAGAGGAGTAAGCATGGGCTCTAACTGAGTGGAGGCCTGTATGGAGCCACATAGGAACATAGAGCGGGGTAAAACTGATTCTGGAGCTTACAGAGCAAACTCTGTCCCTGAAGATTTCCTGTTAAGTACTAGGGGGAATCTGAATGGATGGCTGAATTGTGACACATGTATAACATACTCCAGTAAAACTCACACTACACACACACACACACTTAAGTGATATACAAAACTGCATAAAACAAATGCTTAATAAGGGAATCTGAATTTAGGGAAGAAAAAAACTTTGATGACAAATCTTTAAAAAAAAAAACAGAAATCAACAGCCTAATGCCCAATTAATTAACTTCTCTGCTTAAGTTTACAGGGATATTTGCTTTGTCCCAAAGCAGAATACCATGAAGTTCTAATGATTTCTAACAGAAAGGCTGATCTCCTAGGAGCTCTTTCTATCTGGCCTGATATTGACAGCCAGTATACTTGTCATTAAAATTCACTCTCAGGACAAAACCACAGTGAGATACCAAGTCATATTCATTAGGATGGCTAACCATCAAAAACAAAACAACAACAACAAAAAACACAGCTAGGTGTTGATAAGGATGTGGAGAAATTGAAACCCTTGTGCACTATTGCTGGGAATGTAAAGTGGTACAGCTGCTGTGGAAAATAGTATGGCTGTTCCTCAAAAAATTAAAAATAGAATTACAGAATGATCCAGCAGTTCTACTTTTGGGCACATACTAAAAAAAACTCAAAGCAGGATCTCAAAGACATTTGTACACCCATGTTCATAGCAGTATTAGTCCCAATAACTAAAGTGCACTAGACACCCAAAGTGTTCACCAATGGCAGATTTTGACTGATGACTGTATAAGTAATATGTGAATAAGTAACAAATATATGTATGTATATATAATTCAAACTTAGGAAGGAAATTCTGACTCATCCCACAACATAGCTGTAACTCGAGGGCATTATGCTCAGTGAAATAAGGCAGTCACAAAAAGACAAATACCATACAGCAGAAATCAAACCAATATTGTAAAGCAATCATCAATTAAAGATAAAACAAAGACAAATGCTGTATGATTTCACTTACGTGAGGTACTTTTAGAGTATTTAAATTTGATAGTGGGATGGTGGTTGCAGGGGCTGAAAAAGGGACTGGGAAGCTGTTTAATGGGTACAGAGTTTTAGTCATACTAGATGAAAAGAGTTTTGTGGTGATGGTAGTACAATAATGTGAATGTACTTAATGCTGCTGCACTATGAACTTAAAAATGGTTAATATGGTACCACTAAACACCTATTCAGTTCAGTTGACTCTAGTCGCTCAGTCGTGTCCGACTCTGCGACCCCATGAACCGCAGCCTGGTTCATCACCAACTCCCGGAGTCCACTCAAACCCATGTCCATTGAGTCAGTGATACCATCCAACCATCTCATCCTCTGTCATCCCCTTCTCCTCCTGCCTTCAATCTTTCCCAGCATCAGGGTATTTTAAATTGAGTCAGCTCTTCCCTTCAGGTGGCCAAAGTATTGGAGTTTCAGCTTCAGCATCAGTCCTTCCAATGAACACCCAGGACTGATCTCCTTCAGGGTGGACTGGTTGGATCTCCGTGCAGTCCAAGGCACTCTCAAGAGTCTTCTCCAACACCACAGTTCAAAAGCATCAATTCTTCGGTGCTCAGCTTTCTTTATAGTCCAAATCTCTCATCCATACATGACTACTGGAAAAACCATAGCCTTGACTAGATGGACCTTTATTGGCAAAGTAATGTCTCTGCTTTTTAATATGCTATCTAGGTTGGTCATAACTTTCCTTCCAAGGAGTAAGCATCTTTTAATTTCATGGCTGCAATCACCATCCGCAGTGATTTTGGAGCCCAGAAAAATAAAGTCAGCCACTGTTTCCACTGTCTCCCCATCTATTTCCCATGAAGTGATGGGACCAGATGCCATGATCTTAAGTTTTCTGAATGTTGAGCTTTAAGCCAACTTTTTCACTCTCCTCTTTCACTTTCATCAAGAGGCTCTTTAGTTCTTCTTCACTTTCTGCCATAACAGTGGTGTCATCTGCATATCTGAGGTTACAGATATTTCTCCTGGCAATCTTGATTCCAGCTTGTGCTTCCTCCAGCCCCGCATTTCTCATGATGTACCCTGAATATAAGTTTAAATAAGCAGGGTGACAGTATACAGCCTTGACATACTCCTTTTCCTATTTGGAACCAGTCTGTTGTTCCATGTCCAGTTCTAATTGTTGCTTCCTGACCTGCATACAGGTTTCTCAAGAGGCAGGTCAGGTGGTCTGGTATTCCCATCTCTTTCAGAATTTTCCACAGTTTATTGTGATCCACACAGTCAAAGGCTTTGACGTAGTCAATAAAGAAGAAATAGATGTTTTTCTGGAACTCTCTGGCTTTTTTGATGATCCAGCGGATGTTGGCAATTTGATCTCTTGTTCCTCTGCCTTTTCTAAAACCTATTAGAATGGCTATAAACTTTTAAATTGACAATAATGTGTTGATAAGAGTGTAGACAACAGGAACTCTCTCGTTCATTGCTAATGAGAATATAATATTGTAAAAAACACTTCGAAAGACCATTTGGTAGTTTCTTAGAAAGCTAAACATACTTTTACCATATGAGCCAGCAATCACACTCCTAAGTATTTACCCTGAGTCAAAAACTTAGGTCCACACAAAACCTGTACACAAATATTTACAGTAGCTTTATTCATAGTCACCAAAAGCTGGAAGCAACTAATATGTCCTTGAATAGATGAATGGACAAACAACCCGTGGTATAGCTGTACCGTGAACTGTCACTCAGTGATGTCAAAGAATATACTGTCAAGCTATGAAAGACATGGAAGACCTGTAAATGCATATGGCCAAGTAAAAGGCAAACTGAAGAGGTTTCTGCTATATAATTCCAACCATACGTTACTGAAAAGGAAAAACTTCAGACACAGTAAAAAGATCAGTGATTGCCACTGGTTAATAGGGAGGGAGAAGCAATGAATAGGTGGAGGACCAGATTTTTAAGCAGTGAAACTGTTCTGTGTGATTCTGTAATGACAGATACATGACATTACCCATTTGTCAAAACTTACAGAGCTGTACAACACAAATAGGGAACTTGAATGTAAGCTATGGGCTACATGGGTTAATAATTATGTATCACTATTGATTCAATAACTGTAACATATGCCATGCTGATGCAATCATAGGGGAACTGAGTGCAGCGGAACAGGTATATGGGATGTCTCTGTACAATCTGCTAATTTTTCTGTAAATCTGAAACTGTTCTAAAATC